ACTGCCTAGAGGTTAATTCATTCGTTGAGAACGCATGGCAAACGCATGTATCACGGGTGCTCCTCACGGGTAGAGCAGCAGTGAAGCACCCGTGTGACAAACGGGTGTGCCATGTTTTTAAAACAGGACCAGTTTCCAGTCTTGTGCACGCCAGACCATAAACAGCATCAAGTCTTTGAAAGGCATTTAGAAGTGATATACACAAGGAAGAAAATTTATGGATGTCCTCATAATAAAGAAGTTGATATCCATAAATTCTCTTCCTCATAAACATTATGTCGGCCCGTGAGTTGGCGTTCGGTTGCTCGACTCTAATGCTTTCCGCTAGGCTTCTGTGTTGCCATTTTGACGAGCCGACAGAACAGCATCGAGTTTAGATACGAGTTCAATGTGTTCACACGACTGTCGCGGGTTGGTGTATGTTCGCATTAATTCAATATATTGAGTGAGTGAGTGAGTGAGTATGGTTTTACGCCGTTTTTAGCAATATTCCAGCAATATCACGGCGGGGGACACCAGAAATGGGCTTCACACATTGTACCCATGTCGGGAATCGAACCCGGGTCTTCGGCGTGACGAGCGAACGCTTTAACCACTAGGCTACCCGACCGCCCCTCAAGATATTGTGAACTGCGGAACTTCTTGTTCCACCTTCTGCCTATACATGTATATCCATGTGGTTGCATATATTACCGATGTTCTTTAGGCAAAGTTATGTTTGTTTGTTGTTCAACGCCACACTCCACTATTCCAGCTATATGACGGCGGTCTGTAAAGTATGGGGTTTGGACCTGACTATCCAGTGATTGATATCATAAGCATCGATTTTCGAAATTGGGATACGATGACATGTATCAACCAAGTCATCGAGCCTGACCATCCGATCCGTTAGTCGCCTGTTACGACAAACGTAGTCGCCTTTTCAGGAAAGCATGATTCCTGAAGACCAATCCCGGATCTTCACGGGTGGACACTTTTTTTTAATGATTACAACTTCCTTATTCTTTGTAACAACTACTGTTTCAGAGCTACTACTTGCCCCATCATAAAGGGGAATACTGACAAAGCGTTTAGAGTTAATATACATGATGATATGTTGACACACGGAAGGATTAATGTTCAAAAGAATCAAAGCAGTGTTGTTTGTTATTCATAAAGAAGAGTTATGGGGCGCCGCGATTCGCTGTGCAGAGTTGCGTCCCTTGGGCACGCCAGAAACCTATGATTGTGGGTTCGAATCCCGGTTCCCGGTTTCTAGGTTTGTCAGCACCATTCCTGTGCTCCTGGGCGTCACCGAAGTGGTAAACGTCTGAGACCTGCATCGCTTCGGGCTTTCCTCACATATTAAGCTGACATGCCGCGATATAAATACTCTTAAAAGCGGCGTTAAACCCAACACACTTACTCTGACAACTTCTAAATGCCTATCAAAGGATTCTACTCTCGGAATGGATTAACATACTGACACCTTCATTAATAATTCTTCTAAGTTCTAAGCTCAAAGCTCCCTCAAGCAACGCGGAAACATTGCGACATAATGATTGTGAAGGAATATAAACTATAAACGACTATTATTGCGAAGTGATTAAAACGTGTGTGTGTCAAATGAACCAACCTGTTGGTATTTTATCAATAAGGAAGAACTTCTACAGCAGCGTATTTGTGATACAGCGTTGAATCCTCATCTCCGTACTGCATCCTCTTGAAACTCCATATCGGAGAGTTCTGGACAATATTGGCATCACTTGATTGTTGAATTGTATTCTAGAATAATTTCAATTAGTTTTTCAATTTGTTTTTTAAATCTCTTTACCGATTCAAAGTAATAGACCAGCTCCTCTCTGAAGGATGACTGTCCATAATACCAAATGTTCGATCGTGTTCGTTATATATTCTCTACACGCGGCTCTCAGAAAATTATACTTTCGTGACAAAAGAAATAATAGAAGTTATATGTCTTTTTTACCCAGCCTCGCCCTCGCCCGGAGTATTTTTTGTAGTTTGTCAGCACCATGCGGTGATAATCATTTCTGGTTTCCTTCCTATTTTAAACTGACACACCGTGATGTAAATTAAATAATGTTAAAAGCGGCGTTAAACCAAGCTCACTCACTGCTGGTGTCAGCAACCTTGTGTTTCGCGAGCGACCAACGCCTTTTTCCAATAAACCATGTCGTCGATGACAGAACTGTAATAGAAAGAAAAACACACTGATAGAGGTGAGGTGAGGTGAAATGGGGTTCAACGTCGCGTCCAAGATTATTGCACTTATATAGCGAAGTGCATGTACGTGTGTGTGTTTGTGTGGCTGCTTGTACTAGTCCGGATTGATGCCGATTTATAGTGCTAGCTCACTGAGATACCATGTCGCAGTATAACATGAATACCCCACTCAGACACAGTATACTGACTCCGAGCCGACCAGTCCTTGTTTTAGCCCCTTAATGCCGAGCGCCAGACAGGGTAACAACAAGTGCCATCTTTTAACGTCTTTTGGTATGACGCGGTCGGGGATCGAACCCCGGACCTTCCGATCTCCGGGCGGACGCTCTACCATTAGACCACTGAGGCACGATGATAAAGGTGGACACTACGTGACTCCTCGGCCAATAATGGCCTTGCATACAAATATGAACATGTTTTCATGATATAAATAACTTATGTATTTGTATGCGCGACAATCAAATAAAAAAAGTTAATTTATTCATTCATTCACCATGTCATGACAGTGAATATGTAGTCTTTGTCAAGAGCTATTGAGTGAGTGAGTTGGGTTTAACGCCGCTTTTAACAGTATTCCAGTTATATCGCGGCGTGTCAGCTTAATGTTGGAGGAAAGCCCGAAGTGATGCAGGTCTCAGATGTTTACCAGTTCGGTGAAGCCCATGAGTATGGTGCTGACAAACCTAAAAACATAATCGGGGCGAACCGGGATTCGAACCCACAATCATAGGTTTCTGGCGTGCCCAATGGACGCAACTCTGCACATCGAATCGCTTTAGACGACTGGGCCACCCGTGCCCCCCCAAGAGCTATTGTATAACCTTCGTAAATATAACTATCACGGCTCGTGGTATGAAACCTAACGCGGGACGCTCAACAACCAACCCTATGTACCCCTCGTGATCCTGCTACAACGAATCTTTGTTATCGACATGTTTAAGTGTGACATTGTAAAAGAATTAACACAAATTAAAAATTGATAGAAAACATCTAATCTTTTGAGCTGAGGTTAACTTGTGCTGTGTCACGTGACTTCCATTGACTCGGAAAAAAGCGTGCAGCTTTTTGCTTGGAAGCGGGGTATAAGGGATATATTCTGACTTCAAGAATCCAAGTGCAACCTGTATTGCTCGTGGCGGGGTATTTGAGATTTATTCCCCCGCTGAGAAATGTATAACCCTCCTTGGCGGGTTACACAGTATCTAATCAAGATCACGGTGACCAATCAGATCTCATCACTCTGACATGGAGGTATGATAAATAAATATATCAAATGATTCGATTACAATGTTCATTCAAGAATGACACAATGAAATGTCTCCCTTCGCCGTGTGCACCGTTACAAAGGAAAAGACCAGATCAGACAGTTATATTTTCAATCCGATTTCCCCCTTCAAAACGTCATGTTTGTGGCTCTTGCTGGACTTACGACTTCAGATGAAGAACATCTGTTTGCCGGCAACTGCCTCTTCTGGTTGTCTTCACCTGTCAAATGTTGTTTCTTTCACCTGAACAAATGTTAAACTGTTTGAAAATATTTTCCCCAGGATAATATATGGATTAGAGTTAATGCAAGATAATTAAATATCAATAGTCGACTGTGGTCTATGGCTTTGAATGAAAAACACAAATGAAGATCAAACATAGAAACATGAAATCAATACTTTTCTTTCGCGAAGAGGTCGTGGTTCTAAGCTGGGTTTTGAACAGTATTTCAGTTATATCACGTCGTGTCTGCTTGATTCCCCCGACGTAATGTAGAACTTAGACGATTTTGTCCACGTGAAACCCACGAGCATAGTGCTGACAAACTTAGAAACATACAAATGAAAATGTATTCAGGGCGAACCGGGGTTCGAACTGACAATCAAAAACATGTAACAAGCCAAGGCGGCACAACGATGTACAATAAATAATAAGCGCCTTGGACGACTTCGCTTCCTGGGCGGCTCGTGTTTCTAAACCTTCAAGCGCGGTTCAAGGGGCCTTGTGATCGAACCTGGCCATGTTGTGTGCGGCGTTAAACAACAAACAAACAAACAAACAAAGCATCGATGCACATTGTTGGTTGGCTGTTATATAACACGAAGCGGCTCAACATTTTTGCTACATTTCGTGTGATTGTGTTGGCTCATTCAAAATATTATATGTTTGTACATGTAATCATGATGCCGATATGAACATATGTGCAAGAAACATCAGAACCAAACATATGTTCAAGTCATGACTGTTTATTAATAAGATAAGTTGTCTTATGATGTTAGAAATATCACTAAGCAGTAAACTAGTTCTTTTGTTTTAAAGCTTTTAAAGAATCAATGGATTTCATAAAATGCACACTCACAAAATAAACATTTGAACTCAAATCGACAGATGCATTAACACATGCTTGTATATAGGACACAAGACCATAGGTCTATACCGGTAAACCAGGTGTCTCAATCTATACAGGTCCTAACGCCAACGGATGTAATGTTATTGCCTATTAAGGTATGTTTGCTTGATCCGCCATGTATTCATCTATATTCATGACCGCACATATGAGCATACATGCATGCCATTCTCTCCTACCATGTATGTAGCATTGATAAATACTCATTGTCACCTAGTGGTATGCCGCGTGGGTGTCAGTATACCCATATATATATTGATGTATTGAAATATAATAAATGTAACAATGAACTTTCTGGATTAGGTCGAGGACAACATATAGGGTTAAACTGTCCACACTATGTTTGGATCAAACACTAAAATCAATTATTTCTTTTTCATCTCAGACCGTTACTGACATTGTGGTCGTGAAAATCTTCATCATTCGACATCCCTGAAGCTGTGATTAATGACGGAGCTGAAAATCCTGGAAAAGTATTCCTTGGGATAATCTGCTATCGAGTAAATACATGCACAGACAAGCACGATAGTGTGGGAAGGAAATAGATCACCGCCGAGCTCTCGTACAGGTCCATTTGTCAGTAGGAGACTCAAGTTAGTGCTAGACGGTTTCACTGAGTAAAGCCATGTCTCCCCGGGGGTATAGATCAACTCTCTCAGTGCCTTTGGTCACAATGAACAACTTTATAACACCGATAGTGCCTTCTTCGTCGCTTCGTGGATTCACGGTTGGTACTCTTTTTATATACCTATCATTCAAACCCTTATTCACCAGTTGTACAATTCATAAGAAATAACAAAGAAATTATGCTTTTTATGCTGATGTTGTTGTGTGTGATCCCTGCTATTGCTTATATTGCCTTGACCAGTTATTGGCAGCAATATGTATCTAAAAAATAAACTGATTGTTTATTCATTAGATGCATGAATATCAGCCTAATTTGCCGAATTAAAGTAAAGTTATGTCACCTCTTTTTACAACAAGCTACAGTATTGTCAAATTTGTATTATGCTAATGCCTGCATGTAAGAACAAAAGTAGTGTCATATGTTTCCTTGAATTATGTTCGATTTACCCACATAATAGTCATCGTATATATCTTTTTCGGGACATACATGTAGTCACATGAATATGTAGTAGAGGAGAAAACCTTAAAATAACATAACGCTTTCAAAAGTTATGAGTCGCTAATTGAAAATAACAATATTGATAATTCAGTTGGTCTTAATGTCAAGCTTTCAAAAGAACCCACCGATTGTGCACAGTCGTTTTGTGTTAACGTTGGTTTAATTTCCGGCTCAAAACACAATAAGCTACAATTACCAAGCAATTACAATAGTTGCTTTCTACCCATACCAATCTAATATTCTATATTTACCTCTTAGGTGCATCAAGGGCCCTACGTATGTTATTTGATTGCTTTCAACTTTTTGTTTTCTGTTGTTATATCCTAGGGAGCTTCATGTACTGACAACGTTCGACAAGATCGTTTGATCACATATTTGACAAATTAGCCCCAGATGAAAAAAGCCTTTGAAACATGGTACATTGGAAACGGAATTAAGTAAAACCGACACAACCCTTACCATTTTCAATAAAAATCTTAAATAAATCAATAGAAACATTTATCTCAATTGGTTGTAACGAGGTTTCCGGTCCTTCATCAGATGGCTTAAAGTGTAAAGGTAGCCCTGAAAGGTCTTTACAAATAATAAAGAAATCATTAACCCTCCAGGAAAGGTTTCATGGACTTTTGTTTTTCCAGCTTCTAAAATAATAATAATAAATAAAGCGACATATGAATCACTATGAAATAGTAATGATAACAGGTGTTCGCTAAAAGGTGAGAGTACCCTGCCCCACCGGTGGCACCTGTCACAAACACATGCAAAGGCATATCAATTGTTCACCTGAAGAAACACGGGAACATATGGTAAAAGTCAAAATAGGGAATTGCATCGGACATCATTTTTGCCATTGATGCGTCAAATTTGGAAATGTCCTCCACATGTCTACCATAAAACCTTTGGAAGCTTTATTGAGGCCTTGGATGATGTAACCTTGATCAAACAACTTCTGAGCAAGAGTCGTATGACGCTCTTTGAAATCTTGGTGGAAAGAGCATACTCGATTGTATCTCAAAAGTAGGGGAATGTAAACAGGCAAAGCTGGAGCTTCTGGAATATTGCTCGACATGAAGAAAAGTTGGCTATTGGAAAGTTGAAGTCATCCCTCTTGTCACACATTCTTGTTGAGAGTTTTTTGTCACTCTGAATCTTATGAACAAAACAAATGAAAACATGGGCCATGTGCAGCGCATAGATTATAATTAATGATTGACATCATGACAACGATCCATGCAATTGGGATATGGTGGCATGCATCAACCAAGTCAGCGAGCCTCACAACCCGATCCCCTTAGTCGGCTCTTACGACAAGCACATCTCCTGTGTGTACCTGTCAGTTATAATCAGTCAGGTGGAAATTTTCTTTTTGGGGGAAATATCGTTTTGTGATAGGACACGACATTTTGGTGTGAGTAATACTTTCGCAACGTTCACCAATTCTACGTCGTTGGTTCACTTTCTGTTAAAGAGACGATCTGGAGGCTATTGATTTAAGGAAATACTAGATTGTGTTCAAAAGACATCTCTCTTTGGTCAGTGCTGAATGCTGGACTACTTTAGCACGACATATAAAGAGTCCCTTAGCGCAATTGGTAGAAACTTATTTTAGTGGCCTCAATAAACCAGTCGTGAATTCAGTTGTCATTTAAAAGCAACATATCATTGTTGAATTTCGGGGACGTTTCATAATCTTATTTAAGAAAAGTGCTAAGATGGTTTAAATGATTGTGAACGAATCCGGCCCAGAGAAATACAGACTGAAAACCTCGAAAAAAGGTTCTTACAATGAATCCGAATTCTTCCGCAAGGCCTCACTGTGGCGATATATAGCTTTGCCAAGTACCGAGAGAGACCTTCATTGTCGCACCAATGAGCTCATGACTATTATGAAAGGTTGGCAATTTAACTTGTGGGTGGTTCAAAGCCAACAGAAATCGACTATCCATTGTTCGATCTTAGGGTGATGAAAGGTTACGTTCACTCATGGCAACTTAACTCAACCAGAATGTAATCTTCAAAGACGTATTTACTAGGGATTCTTTTTGAACCACGGACAGTTAAAGTGACTTATGATATTCATATTGGTGTCGTGCTTGCATAAGATGCGTAAAGTGATTTGCTCACTACTCAGTATGCCACATGTCACACTTTTCGCGAACACCTGGTGTCATAATTCATCTCAAGAGATCATTCCATATAATTGTCACTGCTAGTTTGACTTTTACGCCCAGTGGAATCTGTTTCGGCAGATAATCGTGACTGATTATTCTCTAGCGTTGACGCTTTATGTTTACATGAACATTTCAAACGATATCCCAAACCAGGTTCAAAATATTCCGTAACAAACGATAGTATACTGAGACTACGTTTGGACACAGAATTTCTTTTGTTTGTTTGTTTGTTGTTTAACACCGCACTCAGCAATATTCCAGCTATATGACGGCGGTCTGAACATAATCGAGTCTGGACCAGACAATCCAGTGATTGATATCATGAGCATCGATCCACGCAATTGGGATCGATGACATGCTTGAATCAAGTCAGCGAGCCTGACCACCCGATCCCGTTGGTCGCCTCTTGCGACAAGCATAGTAGCCTTTTACGACAAGCATGGGTTGCTATAGACCTATGCTACCCCGGATCTTCAAGGGTCTCTACGTAATAGGGATACGATGACATGCATTAACCACGTCAGCGAGCCTGACCACCTGCTCCCGTTAGTCGCCTCTCAGGACAAGCATGGGTTGCTGAAGAACTATTAAGACATAAAAAGACAGTAAACAAACATAACGTTCGTTTTTCAAATTACATAATGTCCTTCAAAAGTAGGATAGTTTGGATCTACGTCTAAATGAGCATGTCGTTTCAAACTAACTTCAAACTGGGGATAAACATTGATTCGAATACCTTACAGGTTGTTCTTTATGGAGTAGGTGAGGTGAAATGGGGTTTAACGTCGCGTCCAAGATTATTGCACTTATATAGCGACGTGCATGTACGTGTGTGTGTGAGTGGCTGCTTGTACTAGTCCGGACTGATGCCCATTTATAGTGCTAGCTCACTGAGATACCATGTCGCAGTTTAACATGAATACCCCACTCAGACACAGTATACTGACTCGGCGCCGACCAGTCCTTGTTTTAACCCCTTAATGCCGAGCGCCAGACAGGGTAAGAACAAGTGCCATCTTTTAACGTCTTTTGGTATGACGCGGTCGGGGATCGAACCCCGGACCTTCCGCTCTCCGGGCGGACGCTCTACCACTAGACCACGGAGGCGGTCTCTTTATGGAGTAATCTGTACGAGTCACATGTACACAACTAAATGACGGCGGCCTGTAACTAATCGAGGCTGGACCTGCAAACCATAAATATTCTATGCATTATACCACGCTGTCAGGGTACGATGACATGCAAGTCAATGAGATCGACCGTTCGATTCATTTAAAATTCGTCCCTCGCAGATGTATGTACACCTGTATCACAATGGCCATTTAAAACCTATAAAATATTTAAAAAATACTTTACCTATTTTCGTATAGCTGTTTAGAAAACATGTTTCAAGTAAAACCGCCTGTATGTTACATATATATTATCACCCATATAATTATTTGCACACAGTTTCGCTCGCTCATGAAAGTTATTTGATTGGGCGGCTATTTTTAGCGTTGTTCGTTTTAATTGTGCTCAAGTGGAAGTCATGTTGGCGGATGGGGCCAGGGTATTTATCATAATAAAATGAACATATCATACGATATACAATCGAGGATGAATAAAACATTTTATTCATATTTCTGCATTAGGTGTGATCTGTGATGACCTTTCTGTTCTGTCTTTAGTTATGTCATTTCAACATGTTTCATTTCGTTATAGCCAGCACATACGTGAGCAAATACATTGGAAATAATAACTGCAGATAGTCGTTGCATTGTGATTAAAATATACGATTTCCATCATATAAGTCCCTGTATAATTTATAATACGAAATGTCGACAACAAAAATCGGATAATAGTTATAGTTTATGAGTATGGTTCAACACCGGTTTGAATAATATTTTATTTACATCAGATTCGTAATGCCCGAAGCCCGTCAGGTAATGACACACGGTTATCAATTAATAACGGTAAAATGACCACTTCGTGAGTTCTGTTGCAGTTATTCTTGATTAAATTTATAAATCTAGAGCAAACGGACACATAAAACAATGCCTTAGGTGAGACCTTTGACAGTACAATTTGTAATACAGCTTTCATGGTGTCGTCAACCTTTGCTATATGAGAAGGAGTGAACAGTATTCTAGTTACATCACTACACGTCACCTTGATATCGGAGGAAGTCCTGGAGGGTAGTTCTTTGACGATCCCGTTAGTCGCCTCTTACGGCAAGGATAGTCGCCTCTTACGACAAGGATAGTCGCCTCTTACGACAAGGATAGTCGCCTCTTACGGCAAGGATAGTCGCCTCTTACGACAAGGATAGTCGCCTCTTACGACAAGGATAGTCGCCTCTTACGACAAGGATAGTCACCTCTTACGGCAAGGATAGTCGCCTATTACGGCAAGTATGGGTTGCTGAAGACATATTCTTCCTCGTATCTTCAC